CACAATCTTTCTTACAGACCCAAGCGAAGAATTCAGTTTGGTGTTTGACTTGATAGGTTTGATGTTTTCAATACGATGAGCGCACATATAATTGAAGGATTAAACTTTTGATCTTGTGTATGATAAATTCTCTCTAAAAACATAGTATGTTCAATCTCTTATTAGAAGAATATACGGCGCCTCTATTTATAGGTTGGACAGTTTAAGACAAATGGGCCAAGTAAAAGTCTCGAAAATCGAAATTATGTTTGATTGATATAATCAGTCGCTCGAGCGAAGGGTCTGTCGCTTGAGCGACAGTTGGGCGTAGGTCGAGTAAGAATGTTCCTGCTTCATCCGCTCAAGCATGACTCCAATGAGCAGCTAGTGAAAAAAACGGCGTGAATCCTTCTTGTTCTAAACATGATATCCCAAACCCTAAGCTAACCTATCAACTATGAAACTTTACAATTTAGTCACCAAACTTTTATAATCGTTCAAGTTGATCCTTTTGTTCACAGAATCGCCAATACAATATATAAACCTAACAAGAAGCAATTATTCAATATAAATTTGCTAGCTGAAGAATGCTTATGTTTATTGGCTGCAGGAGATGGAACGTAAAAATGGCTACTGGTGGTCGCTAGATAGCAAATATATTGCGTTTGCAGAGGTTGATTATTCTGGGATACCTCCTCTTAGGAGCATGCACTAAGGGAAAAGTTTTATTGGTTCAAAGGCACAGGAAGATCATTCTTACCCTTTTGCGGGATGGTCCAAATGTGGAAGTTCGATTAGGTGTTGTTTCAGCAACAAGAGGTCCGATAGCTTGGATGGATCTTCTGTATGGAAAAAGGGGCCGGGAAAACAATAAGGAAAACTTGGCGCAAGTGTGTTGGACGCATGGGACCGCTCAGGTTATGAACAGGTCAAAGGATGGTACAACTCTTTATGGGGCATTATAAAAACCTAATTTGGCAAGATTTGGACCTCCACCATATAAAACAATGATTTAAGGGTATGGTGGTCCTAGTGTACAACTTATCTGTGATTCTTGGATAAACACAATTGACACGAGAGCTCAAGTATTTGAGAAGTAAAGGCATATTAGCATGGAAGGTTAGTTCTCTCCGAGTCTGATAGTTGGGGGATAATATCCTGGGCATGCCTATTTGCACTTATGGAGGCTTAACCATGACATGACGTTTATTGGTCATCCTTGGTGGCACCAATAAGGATGCTCGTGTTGCCCCTCTGGCCCACCTGTGAAATTTGAGCTACCAAGGTTAAATAATTAGTTGCAATCCTGACAGCTTTAACTTGTGTAGCATTTTTCACACAAGGACTAGAGAGCACTGGACAGTATTAATAAGGAAAAAGAAGCTAACCGTTTTCAATATATTGTCCACTTTGAAATGTTGGAGCCGACCTTTCTACCCTTTTCATCGAAGTTATGCTATTTACTATTTCATTTATGTGCATTTAAAGGAAATATAGTGCACAAGAAAAGGACTCAATTCTTTCTTACTCCTACACCTTCTACAAATGGATAACTGAGGAACGGCTCGGCATGGACTCAAGTTTGAAGGTGCACTTAAGTACAACTGTGGACAGATTGATGCTGAGGATCAAGTAACTGAAGCCGTGTGTCTCATTAAACCAGGTTTAGCTAAACATGGCCACATTGGATTGTATAGGTGGAGCTACAGTGGATATCTCTCGGCTATGGCATTGGCAAAGTTTCCTGAGGTTTTCAAATGTGCGGTTTGAACGCTCCAGTTACATCATGGGATGGGTACGACACTTTCTACACTGAAAAATATATAGGTTTGCATAGCAAAAATCAATCAAGTTATTTGCAAAGTTCTTTGATGCATCACGTGGACAATATGAAAGGGAAATTGTTGCTTGTACACGGAATGATCGACGAAAACGTACACTTTAGGCACACTGCTCAGCTCGTGTAAGCGCTTGTGGCGACTAGAAAGACTTACGAATTGTTGATTTTCCCATATGTGCGCCACATGCCTCGACGACTTCGGGATAGAATGTACATGGAGGAAAGGATTTAGGATTTTATTGAGAGGAGTTTGTAGATTACCTTTCATGTATTTATGTTGTTTGTCAAGTTCTTAGAGATGTTGGGACCACAGAAATTTTTGATTATCAGTTTTTATTTTGGTAGTTTGATGTACACAGAAGACGTGGCCCAATCTCGTGCCTATCGTCGAACAGTCGTACCCCCAATTCCTTATAAGAGTGGTCGGGACTGGTGGTCGGATCTTGGTAGGATTGGGCTTGATATTGGCGATACAACTCTTCATGCCCTTATCTCGTGCCTTTTTGAAATTTTAGTCTTCTCATAACTCAAATTCTCTACATTCGTCCTTATCCAATTATCTAACATTTTATAGTCCAAGTCAAACTCCAAGAGATAATTTTAGTAAAACTTAATCACTTTATGTAATAATGATATGGATTCCAGGTGATTAAATCCTTAAAGGATCCAACCACCTGTTGGGAATTTACTTATCATGCACAGCGGAAATTAAACAATTTTCAATTCCCAAACGAGGATCTGCAATGTGTTTAGATAGAAACTGTGATGAGAATGATACCTTTGATGAATTCCACAAACTCTTTTGCTTTTTCTTGAACTCCAATGATCACGATCTGCAATCCAAGCTG